CCCCAAAACCCCAAAACCCCAAAACCCCAAAACCCCAAACGTCCATAAAAATAGTGAAAATAAATTCATACAAAAATAATAAATTACCCTCCCCAATGTACACACTCCCTTCCAAAGATTCTTCCCAATTACACCGTCCAACTTTCTCAATCACCTCTCCTGCCCTAAAACCTCACTTTCTTTACCAAATCAAGAACACAAAATCTGCTCCAGGCCAAGTTGACGTCATGCAAGCTAAGAAAGACTTGAGCAAGAAAATAATTAAGGAAAGGAGACAGTCAAGAGAGACACCCAAATTTCCTCGTAAGCTAGTTTCGAAGATGAAGGTTTGATTATGATATAGATAAGAAGTCTACTGTCAGAAAATCACTAAGCTTGCTTGCAAAGAAGGCATATAGAGTCCATCGCAAAGCTCTGCCACCTATTATTACTAAAGAAGGACTTAAGAACTATAAGAGACACTTATATAGTTTGGACTCAGATTTTGAAGAATTTCTTCAAAAAGGGCATGTTTCTGCTCTAAAAGATATTAATAAGTCCTTTAACCCTTACAATAATGCTGAATCTCTTGCATGAAATCAAGCTTACCAAGGGAATGAAAACAAATCAGTGGCAGTCTACTCAATGTGGTGAGATAATAAATTAAAAATCCATCAAACTCCCCCAAATACTCGCAATTTGAAACCTCAAGGTAAAAATTTAAGACTTCGTAAACTCTTAAAAAACAGATTAGAGTTTACACAAAATATGGTCGATTCATGTATCTCCAACTTGCCTTTTCAAATCTCAATAAAAAATTTATTCAACCTCTCCATCCTAGGATGATTACTCTTTGTTATAAAACTAGACTTGGCCCATTCCCATTACTCATAGGTTTGCCTAAACTTGTTTGAGTGCAGACTTCTGTTGCATGACTTAATTTCGGACGTTTACTCAAAAACAGCCCTGTCAACCAATTTTGGAATTCTTGATTATTCTGTTCCTTCAACACTCCAATCTTTATCTGGGCCGATATTCATTTCTTAGCCTAATTTTGATTACAAATATATACGTTGACTCCATTTAAGAAGAGTTCAATCTTGTAGTTTTTAAGAATCATAACATCAATAAATTTCTTGACGTCACCTAAAAATAATAACCAGACTCGATAATTTGTTATTAATTTGGGCTAATGAATAGTAGAGAATATTATCACTCAGATTTTTGGCATGCCTTCTTCCAACAGATTGAACCTTATAAAACCACTCTAAGTGAATCTCTTAGTAGAAGTATTAAACTTTGCAGTTTATTAGGCGTCTCTATGCCAGAATCCACTCATTTTTTAATAAATTTGGGAAATCTTATCAACTATTTAGGTTTAGAAATGACGCAACACTTTGACAAGATGACTAAATTTGGGAAAAATACCATATCAGGTTATGAGGATAAGCTTGAATCCTCATCCAATAATCCTCTATTCAGGAATAGTAAGGTAATAAATAAACTAGGATTTTCCTAATCTTTCCTATAGGCTATAAAACCTAGCAAGAGGGTTAAATTATCTCGTACTTTGTCAACTGTCAAAAATCTGAGAGCTTTTAAAAATCAAGATTTCTCTGATTTTCCAAGCATATACAGAGAAGGTAAGAATGCTAATCTGGCTACTTGAGTCTTACAGATATTACATACTTCCATCACGAGCCCCACCTCTTCTCTTCAGTTCCTATCCAGTCATGAAAATTTTGAAATTCGTCGCTTGAATGAATGTAACCAACTTATTAAGAGTTTAGGTTAATTAAAAACACCTGTTTTCTTTACCATGAATTTTCTTCATAGTTACAAAAATAGGTTAGACTTAGTGAGGTTTAGAGCAATGTTTATACAGATGCTAACTCATTTGAAGCAATAATTGCTACGATATTATAACTTTTATAGTCCTCTTTGTCTTCACAGAAGTCCATTTTGAAAGCTCAGCAATAACACTATGATAAACTAATCAATATGAAGTAGCAAATAATTATAACTTTAAGAGTTAGCCATATATATCGCTTTTTAGGATGTTATAAAATCTTTTCTTAAATAAAAAGTCACAACGTCTGCATACGCTCCTGTTTCTCAAATCAAAGGACACTCTAATGTCTGACCTTTACTGTAGAGACTACCAGAAGCACTGTTTCGAACTCAAAGACCACTCAGAAGCTTAATCACAAATTGAGTAGAAATTTGGACATCCAAGAAGTTTACAGAGGCGGGAACAAATCAAGAGCTACAAGTTCAGCCAAAACCTGTGCCAATATTACTAACACCTCATCTGATTATATGAAACAATGAGAAAAGCAGATTCCTTACTCCAATTTAGTGACTTCCACGAGGTTGTCTACTCGTTCGCAAGTCTAAGAAAAGATTAGGCTTTATATTTCTGTATATCATACTTTATAATAACATAAAATTACCAGGATTATAGAGTGTCACGCAATTTTCAACCTAATTGAACTTTCAGGGGTTTTGGGGTTTTGGGGTTTTGGGGTTTTGGGG